TTATAATATTATATATTATATAATAGATATATACAACGGAGAAAATGTGGAAAAGAAGACAAAGATTCTTTACAATGACACAGGAAACCAATTGAAAGGGATGTAGTGCAGCTTGGTAGCGTGTTTGTTTTGGGTACAAAATGTCACGGGTTCAAATCCTGTCATCCCTATCTCGAACTAATACTTATCGTAGGAAGGGATCAATTGAGACCAATTCCAATTGGAGATATATATATCTCTATATAGTATATGGTATATGCAAGCAAGATGTATTGGGGTCACTTAAAATTTTTTAATATTAAAAAATATAATAAAAGATAAGCGCTCTTAGTTCAGTTCGGTAGAACGCGAGTCTCCAAAACCGGATGTCGTAGGTTTAAATCCTACAGAGCGTGATTCCATTCTTTTATATTGAGAACGACACTGAAATAATTCACTAGTAGTTTAAAGGTTGAATTTGACCTCCTGGGGATTGTGGTTAAAACAAAGAAAAGAAATAGGAGGTCAATAAGCATCACTAAACAAAAGAGATGTTAATTAATCAAAGGTCCAATTGATCACCACGTCGGTATTGTAAATATGCAGTTATGAATAATCCAGCCAAAGTAATAGGGATTAGTCCTAATACAATTCCAAATAGAAAAACTTCAATCATTATTTTTTGTTTGAAAGGAAAGGAAAAAGGGGAGGTAATATATATCCTTTATATTTGAACTAAATATTAATCAGTCTGTATTGACTACGAATCTCAATGATCAAGAATTGGAAATTAACATGATAAAGAACTCAAGAATATCTAGTTGTTTTAGAAAATTTCTAATTCAATTCCAATTTGAAAATCAAATAAGTCGTATCTTCCTCAGACTGATAAAAAGAGCTGAGGTTATACTTAAAGCCACTAGTAGAAAACCGAAATAACTAGTTATAGTGGACATAAAGAAGCTAAATGAAATAAGTTCTTTTTATACGTATGTTTACAAAGCACTTCCCTAAGTTTGCAAGGAAATAAAATCGAATAGAAGAATAAGCAAAAACTACCATTTGAGAAATA